CCTCCCCTCCTCTCCTCCGCTTTCCTGCCCTCTCTCTGCTTCCACTTCCTCTATACCTCCATCCGTCGACCCAGCTAAACTTCTCTGAGGCTCCACGACCTCCACACCTACTCGTGCTTCTCCCACTCCTACCCCTGCTACTTCTCTTCGTCTCTCTTGGCCACTTTCTCCTTCCCCCCCCACTTCCCTCCCTCCCTCTCCTCCTCCCCCCTCCACTTCCCCTCCCCTCTCTCCTTCTTCCCCCTCCATTTCCCCTCTTCTGCCCTCTCCTCCTCCCCCTCCTCTTCCATCTGGTGCTCCTGGGACAGCTAACCTCGTCTCATCCGACTGCACATCTTGCCTCCCAAGCAGATCAGATCGAACCCTCCCTTCACCCCCTCCTCCTCCTCCTCCTCCTCCTCCATCCTGAATCAATGGCAAAGCTTGCCCTCTCTGACCCTCAAACGTCTCTACGCGCACGTCAGAGTTCACTTCGGGTTCTAAATGAGCACCACCCTCCACCACTGCAGCAGAAGGCTGTTGATCTGCGTCCACGTGGCGCGACGTGGACGGTTGATCTGCGTCCACGTGGCGCGACGTGGACGGTTGATCGGCATCCACGTGCCGACACGTGGACGGTTGATTGGCATCCACTTGGCGCCCATTGAGCTGCGATTCTCCTCCCACGTCAGCCGAAGGCACACTCTCGTTCTCCCTCTCCCTCTCCCTCGCCGGAGATGAAGACCAACCTGATAAATTGGACAATTTCACTTCTTGGGAAAAACTGATGACACAGCAGAGATCCGCCTCCTCGTCCATTGCAGACGGCCAGCTTCAAGAATCTGAGTGCGCATGTCACTCTGGAAGAGCCACGTGGCAAAGGCCCACGTGTCGAGACCCTCCCCCCCCCCAAAAAAAAAACAAAAGAAAAAGGAGAACAGCACTGAGAACGAGAAAAGAAAAAACAGAACTGCTACCTCTTCACTTCCGATCTGCATGCATCTCTTATTCCCACCCGGGGCCAAGTCCCACTACTAGTAGCAGCATTGAGCTACCTCAACGCCTGAATCTGGACGTGTTTGTGGAGACGTGCAGTTCAGGAAACTCAACACCATTTCTGCACATCTCCGCAAAAGCGTCCAGATTCAGGCGTTGAGGTAGCTCAACTCTGCTAGTGGGGGACTTGGCCCCCGAGCAAATCTAAGCAAAACAAAAAAAAACGAAACAAGAATAAAGAGAAACAAGAATAAAGAAAGAGGAGGAGGAGGAGGAGGAGGGGGAGGAGGAGGACGAAACCTGAGAAGCCACGGGCAGCAAATGCTCTTTCTTACATCCAAACAAGTTAGCCTCTCCAAAAAAAAAAAAAAAAAAAAAAAAAAAAAAAAAAAATGTTAGCCTCACTTCAAACCACACGCACAGAACTAAGTCAATGCACTTTTTTTCAATTCATTTTTTTGAAAAAGAAAGAGAAAAATCAACGTACACATTTCCCGACGCGTTCGGCCCTGCTGCCCTCCGGTCTCCACGGCGGCGGGGGGGGGGGCGGCGGGGGTTTCCGCAATTTCCCTGCACGAGCCGACCCCAAGAATCGAACACGCGACCTCCCAAACCTGGGAGTTGGACGCTCAAAAAAACGCCTAAGTAGAAGAGAGAACTAATACAGTAAGAAGAAGAAGAGCGACGTCTGAAAGAAGGGGCCAAAAGAAGAGGCCAATACCTCAAGGCCATCGCCCTTCAAAAAAAAAAAAGAAGGGGCCAACACAACACCCTTCACAAGGGTTAGCATTACGCTTCCGCGCATACTACCGTAGTGGTTTCAAGAATCGAAGACGCGACAAGGACCTTCCTTGTGCGAAGGAAGGGTGTTCAGCTACGGGCACGTTCCCAAGAAGAAGAAGAAGAAGAATACTGAAGAAGAGGATTAACGATTTTTTTGGTCCATGATCCGATCTGAAGAATCGAACACGCGACCTCCCCCTCCCTCATGGGAGTTGCACGCTCAACCACCAAACGGCTAAGGTAGCTGGAGCGGGACATACATCTTGTGTGTGTGTGTGTGTGTGTGTCTGTGTGTGTGTGCAAGCAGGAGCAGGTAGTCACGCGAGCAACCACCCCATCCTTGACCACCATGGTTGGGGCCGGGGGGGCAACATGCATCCCCCCTGATGGGGGGCTGAAGGGAGGGAGGGAGGGAGGGAGGGAGGGAGGGAGGGAGACAACAAAGCTATGTTTTTTGAAGGGGTCCCCTGTGTGTATAAGCCTGAGGAGTAGTGGTAGGAAGGTAGTGAAGGCGAATTGAAAGAATTTGAAAGATGATGAAAGATTTGAGCGAAGAAAAAAGCGTAGTTATAAAAAAAAAAAAAAAAAAAAAAAAAAGGTTGCATTTTTCGTCCATCATCCCATCTCAAGAATCGAAACACGCGACCTCCCTCCCTCATGGGACTCCCTCATGGGAGATGCATGCTCAAGAAGAATAGTGAAAAGTCAAATCAACGGCCACGCGACCTCCCTCCCTCATGGGGGTTGCATGCTCAAGAAGAATAGTGAAAAGTCAAATCAACGGCCGTAGACTGTTTCTTGCAACATGCTACAACAAAAGATAGACATTACATCTCCGCAAGAATGAAACCTTGCCAATTTATTAAATAAAATAATTAAAAAAAAAAAACTTACCGATTGAAGTTGGCTATGCGGCGTCTAATGAGATCTTTCTTTCTTTCTTTCTTTTTTGTTCCCCCCACATGGTCATCCCACAATATTATTTTTGCAAAAAAATAGCAGCAAAGATTTATTAGAATCTCAGAGGAGATTTTTATGTGGCAAATGCTACGATTATCTCTCTCTTCCTCCACAAGTTCCCAGAGTCGCAGACACCCAAAAAAAAAAAAAAAAAAAAAAAAAAAAAAAAAAAAAAAAAAAAAAAAAAAAAAAAAAA